GCCGCTGCCGCGGCCACAGCCGGGGCCAGGAGGGTGCAGCGCCGGAGGCGGGTCAATCTAGACTCGCTGGGTGAGAGCATCAGCCGCCTGACGGCGCCCTCGGTGAGCAGGGGCTGCGGAAGGAGGGCTGGTGTCTTGGGAGAGAGGACAGGGTCGGGAAAGTTGGCGCCAGGCTCTCCCAGGCGTGTGTGTGCCTAGCCCGACCGCTGGGGGGCGCCGGGCCTCGCCCGCCTGGGCCTTGGTGCCGGGTGGGGGTGGGGGCCTCAGGCAGACAGAACTCGGCTCTCTCTGGCGGACGCTTTAGAGCCCTTGGGGAGTCAGTCTTCCCCGCCTCCTGTGCTTTTGCACAGGGGGCTTGTCCGCCCCCTTCCAGCCTTGGCCCCACTTGGTGGGGCTCACCCTGACAGCCTCCTGTTCCTGTACACCCACCTGTTTTCTTTACCACAAACTTTCCCAGGCTCTGTGTTCCACAGTTCTCATTTCCACATCACCAGCATCCCCAAAGGGCTGCTACCACTTTCAGGAAACCTTCATCTCCTCCCTCCACCCCCCTGCGCTCTTGCTCTTCCGTGTGACCTTCTTTGACATCACTGAATTCCACAGCTCTGTGCATTCTCTGTTGCATCTTCAGAAACTGATAGTCAGATGCTTTTTTGAGTTGTTTTCTGATCTCTTGTTTTCTCCCCAACCTTTTTTTTTTTTTTTTTGTATTCGCTGGACATTGTTTTTGTTGACCCTCCATGTCTAGGTAAATTCATTGTTTGATTTTCAGAATCTCTGATCCTTGCTCCAAGTCATCTTTTACTTTTTTCTCCTGGCTTCTTAAGAGCTTTCTCATTAATTTTTTTTTTTTTGTTCTTGAATTCTTTGAGGCCCTTCCTAATTATCTGTTGCATGAATGAAAACCTTCCTAACCTTCTCAAAACTTGTGATCATTAGGGGCTATCTGTGTCAGCCATTTCAAGGGTACCCAAATCCCCCTAGGTTCTAGGCATCCTTCCAGAGCACCTCTTTCTCATTCTTGCAGTGCCTGCCCTCTACCCTTGACTTTTACCTTCTGTCCCAGTCTTTCTCTTTCTGGATGAGCTGTTTTGAAGCAGTCTACTCCAGTGGGCAGAAACTGAAGGAGATTCAGTGTCAAATCTTTATCACCATTTATCCTCACCCTGACCTTGGGGTCAAGGACTTTGAATTCTGACCGCATTTGAGCTAGGTACCCTAGTTCTGCTTTAAAGTTCCCAAAATGAATCTGGACATGGGTCTTGCTTGCACACTCCTGAGTTTCACTTTTAAAAGTACTCCTGCAATTGGTGGTGTGAGAGACCGGAGAAGCAGTGGGTCCTGAAGGACTGGGGTTTGGTAACACACCACCCTATACATATTCCTGTGGTCCTTGCCATTATGGAGAATAACCTTTTTTTTTTTTTTAACATTAAGATAACTCTTCCACCTTCTTTTTCTTGTGTATTTTCCTTTCTATTTGCCTTGCTGCCTCTTTCTTCCACTGACAAACTAGGAACTAGTTCAGAATTTTTTTGATGTTGTATTTTATTGTAAATATTTCTCAGGAAGCATAATCTTAGAAACTATTTGATGTTACAATTTTTTAAATATAAGCCTTTGTGAGAGGAATCTAGTAGTTATAAATATGTGTCTGTAATTTTAGTTTAGTCCCTAAAATATTTGTGCAGGGTACTAAAATTTGATATAACTTTGGTGATTAATTTGGGGGAAGAATTATTTTTAGTTTTCTTTTTGCTGAACAATCAGAATTTACAAGATTCTAAAAAGTAATGGTTGTGTCTCTGGTAACAGCAGTTTAACCTAAGAAAATTCTCCACACCTTATGTGAGGAAGTACATAAAAGTAAACTTAAATATGTATTGCCAAAATAGAGAGGAAATTTCACCTTTATCAATCAAATTTGAGTAACTCTGGCTTTTTACTGGATAAAAAAACATGCATCCAGATAATGGTTTTTAGGATAAGAAATTTAAAAATAGTTCCTGTGGTCAAATCTATGCAACAGTGATATGTGCTTTACATGTGCAATTCCTTTCTATTTTGAAAAGTTACATCACTTTGAGGTGAATGTAATAAACATTTTTAACATCATCAGGCAGGTAGAAGTCAGTTCTCAATGACTGCTCATCAGTGGATATAGTAGCACAAAGAGAACAGGTTATATTTCAAAGCAGTGACTTAGTTCTGTGGTCTCCACTCCTGTTTTACTTGGTGAGCTGGAGTGCTGCTTCAGAGTTCCAGTACATTCATTCTCTTGCATAGCTAAGAACCCAAACTTCTCTGAAAATAATTAGGGGAGATTGTTGTGTCCTGTCTGCTCTTGTTCATTAGAGTGAAGTTACTTTTATTTAAATTTCTGAAAATAGCTGTTATCAGAGAACATTCTTTCAGGAAAATTTCTGATGGGTATGAGTGCAGTGAGCTTTCTTGTATTGTATCACAGTTATACTTCAGGAGAAACTATACTTGATGTGGAGGTACTTTTAGTGATCTCATCATGGAATTTTGTCTCAATCACTGGACATTTGTTCTTTATTCACAACAATTTGCATATAGGAAAATAGAAATTAGTAAAAACTGAATATTGCTAAGTAACTTCCTAATTTGATCAGTGATTAGTCAAACCAAGGCTTTTGATATTTCAAATCATTTTTCAATGACTATAAAGATTATAGAACTTTATACCATTTTATTAGTGAAGGTAAATTGAATTAATGAAATTGAGTCAATTCTAGGATCTTCTATGTGGCAGGTATTATACCAAGTACTGACAATACAAATGCAAACAAAACACTCCCAATCTTTGACACAGGGAACCTCTTCATTTATAGCTTTTATTTTAAAGGAACTGTATTGAGGGAAAATATAAGAACTCCAGTTGTCCTGGACATATCCAGAGAAAGTTTTATTTATCATGCATTTTGGATACTTCACTCTGCATCTCTGGGATACAGACATAATAGTAAAAACAACCCTTGAGATGTGACTGAAGATGTATACACCACTTATTTTGTTACTTATTTTCAAATGATTTAGTACTTGGGAACACGTATGGAGAAACAGCTGGGAGTTCACATCATGGATGAATTTAGTAACTCACTCATACCCATTTTATTTGTAAAAATGAGAGTTGCTTGGAACCTTAGTGCTTTGACATCAGGCTTAGGGTTAGTAACAAGAGCCTGTTAGGAGGGTGCTCTAGGAGATGCCTGAAGAGAGGGCTTCCCTGTGTTCCTTCTTAGGGCACCTTGATGTCGCAATGCTGCAGGAGGCTTGGGGAAAGAGTAACAGAACTGAGGGATGGAAAATAAGGGCAGTGCACTCCAGACACAGCAATTGTCCAGCACACCAAGGGAATAGTGAGGAAAGAAAATGGAAAGGAAGTCCAAATTCAAGTAGCCAAAAAGTAAAAATAATTTCATTATTTTGGGAGAGGAAATTATATTGAGACATCCCTATGAAAAAGTGAAAGGGCATTCAAAGTACAGCTTTTGCCTTTCCTGATATTACATAAAATTAACTTTTACATGTGTAAGACATTAAAAAAAACTAAGAAAGTGTGAGAGTAACAATAACACATAAATAATGAAAAATTGTGAATTGTGAATTTGGATAGTTGATGCATTTATATTTTATAGTTGAAATTTTTTAAATTCCCCAAATTAGAGTTGGGATATTTGATAAAACATATTCCAGTAGTTATAATGTTTTCACTGTTGTAGAATTTAGATATCAGTATCAGACCAGATCTTAGTAGTCATCTGCTGCTCCTTTCTTTACTTCATCCCTAGTCACAACTAAGCAACATATTCAGATTTAAGAGAACAGGATTTGGTGCTTAGAAGCCCTGGCTACTGCTGAGCCCTTACTAAGCATGGGAGTTTGGGAAAGCCAAAGCCTGCCTTCTGGGAACCTTGGGTTCCTATTATGTGAAATCAGAATAAATACCTTGTAGATTTGTTGTGAAAGAGAGCCAATATACTTTGTAAAACTTGAAAATCAACAAATGATGTTTTTAGGTTAAGACCCTTTAATTTCTATGAAATTTAAATAGCTACAAATGATCTAAGATTTCATTTTTTAAAAATAAATTTATAGGATAACTGATGTCTTGCTCCTAAAAGTAATAAACATGATCAGGAAATTATTTCGTTGACACTTGCCACTAGTCCATTAAAAAAGTGAAAACTGGGGTCCCTTTCAGGCCCCCTGGCTGTGTCTTGTGTATACACGAACCTGTGCAATCCTTGCAGATTCAGATTTTTCCATCAAATTTCTGAGTGCAATGTAGAAATACTTTTTATAACTTAAAAATACCATAAAAACACCAGGACATACATTCTTGGTAGAAAGTGGGCATTTTATAACATACTGACTTTAAACTAGAAAAAATTTAGATAGGTGAGAGAAAAACTGCTTATTTAATTTATCTGAGAATATCGAGCTTTCCTTGCCACCACATCGTATGTGTGTTAAAGCTGTGAGGGGCAGCGGTTACCCAGCTAATAGTATTTATTTTCTGTGTACAACATGCTATTTTTGTTTGTGTACCAAATTAACTGTTAGGTCTTCCTTTTAAAAATTTATTTTGTCAGTGGGAAATGACATCAATTATGAGTTTGTAGATAGAGGTCATTCATGATCATCTTCCTTTAGTATATAGTTTATCTACCTTGAAGGACTCTCAAATGTTTGGAGGGAACATTTGAGTGATGTTATGTATTTTTCCCCTTTATATCATCTTTTCATTCACTTTGGTTTTGTCTTGTTGCCTCAGTCACAACATTAAATCTGTATTTTATCAAACATGATATTTAAGCAAGTGCATTCTTTATCTGTCTTTATCTGTTTATGATTTACTATCTACATTGTTCATCATGAATCATCAAACAGATATACTTATCCACTTTAGAATTTCACACACATCTAGGAAGAAAAACTGCATGGCAAAAGGAGGGGGTGTGTGCAGAGGCTCTCTGGGATGGGATGGGTGTTCTTAACAGATCCCTGCTTGATGCATGAACTACTGATTTAGGTCGAACTTTAAAGTCTCCCTGTTTAATTTCTGACTGTAACCT